ACTTCGACACAGCACGTCCCGTTTATTTTGCTTTCAGACGCTCTTAGAAGGGCTATACGAACACTACAAAAGGGGAGATTATTAAAATACTACAAAGGGCTATATACTACAAAAGGGAAATTATTAAAATACTATAAAGTGCTATATAATAAAATGACCAGATAATTTGTAAAAAGAAAAGAAAAAAAATATGTAATTATTGAAGAATATAAAAGTATATAAGAAGACAAAAGCCGCATTCAAAAGGACGATTTTAATGCTCCGTTGTTAATAATCTATAACGATGAGGTATATATGAGGTAATAGAGTTAATGGGGCTCTACACGCTATTATGAAGTGTCAGAATGTGTTAGTGTTAGTCTCTACTTTAACGTATGGTAGTGAAAGTTGGGTATGGCAGAAGAAGCATGAGAGTAGAATAAAGGCTGTAGAAATGCGGTCATTACGTAGTATGTTACGGCTGAATCTAAATAACAGGGTGAGAAATAGTGTGATAATAGAAATGTGTGGTTTGCAAGATGACGTTGTGACTAGGATTAAAAAAGGAATGCTTCGGTGGTTCGGTCACGTAGAAAGAATGAACGAGGAAAGAGTAACAAAGCAAATTTATGTTTCAGAAGTGAACGGCAAAGTCGGCAAGGGACGCCCTAGACGAAGATTTATCGACCAAATCGGCGATAAATTGAAAATGGACCAGATTAGGAGTACCCTTAACCGACAAGCGTGTATGCGTAGATATATGGATGTAAAGGAGGTGAGAGAGGTGTGTCAGGATCGCGCCAAATGAAAGTCCGTAGACTCTGCCTACCCCTCTGGGTGACAGACGTGAGGGTTTGTATTGTATTGTATAATAATAACCTTTATTTGGAGATCTTGCAAAAATATTATATCAAAGTAATAAAAAGCTGTGATTAAATTATTGATTTATTTATTTCAACACATAACTATTTTTACACCTAATCCTATTATTAAATATAATATAAAATAACTTCAACTTACATATATTTATTATTTTATTGACACCGGTATAGTGATTGTCCCCTGCAAATGCCTTCCTATAATTTGCCGTGCTTTCCGAACCTGGGTAATCCTACTACAAGCAACTCCAGCTATTTTCCGAATATCATCTTTCCATCTATGTCGTAGCTTGGTTGTTAGCCTATTTTTCTTTGTTACTCCTCATCATATGTCCTGCCCACATCCATTTAAGTTTTCTTATTCAGTATGTAAATTACTTTATTTTACTTTCATTTCGTAACGTTTCCTAGATTTATTTTATCTTCTTACTCGACTTTGAGTTTGCTTTCCTACATAATATGTTGACGGATATCTAGTTTGCGCAGATATTATTTCGTTGTTCCATCTTTGACATCCATATATAATAATTGATAATATGTATGAACTAAACATTTTTAACTTAGCTTTGAGTGGTACTCGTACTTGAGGGGTTTCTTCATAAGACACTACTACACTATACTCAGTAACTATACATTTTTATGTAAATAACATAAAATTTATACAAACAGTGTCTATAATGTATGAAATAAATGATTTTAAATCTGAAATTTTGATTAAATCCAGAAAATTAAGCTTAAAAATTTCCATTGGTAAAATTAAAATAACAACGCTAATAATTGTTATTTTAATTTTACCAATTGGTTTTATTTATCGTCTACAAAAAATTAATTTTTGTAGTCGATAAATAAAACCAAGGTAAAAATCTGAAATTCTGATTAGTTTAAATATTCATTAAGATGTAAAAAAGTTTTGTGCTTACCTTAAAGCATATCTGAACATCACGCTACTTATAAAATTTATAATTCAAGAGAAATGCGTTCCTTAATGCGTTTACTAGGGCTGAATCTGAATGACAGGGTGAGAAATAGTCTGACAAGAGAAAAGTGTGGTTTGCAAGATGACGTTGTGACAAGGATTAAGAAAGGAATGCTTCGGTGGTTTGGTCATGTAGAAAGAATGAACGAGAAAAGAGTGACAAAGCAAATTTATGTTGCAGAAGTGAACGGCAGGGTCAGGAAGGGACGCCCTAGACGAAGATTTATCGACCAAATTGGCGATACATTAAAAATGGGCCAGATTAGGAGTACCCTTAACCGTGTGTGTGTGTGTTTTCTCTGAGGGACTCTTTACTATTTAGTTTATATATCGCCCGTAGGGCTGTCTTTTGAAAAACAAATATAGCTTTAATATCAGTCGCATTACCCCATAGCAAAATTACATAACACATTATGCTATGAAAGTAACTAAAATACACTAATCTAGCTGTCTCAATATCTGTAAGACTTCTAGTCTTTCTTCTTACAGCATATGCTGCAGAATTAAGTCTGCTTGCTTATTTAGATATATGGGGGCCCCATTGAAGTTCCGCGTCAATAGTAATACTCAGAAAAGCAGTGGTATCCACAAGACTCAACTGCTTCGCATTTAAGAACACATTGGTATTCGAATGTTTTACATTAGATATTGTAAATTTAATACATTTTTAACACACATTTTAAAGACTTTAATAGAAGCCAGTTATTTGTAAATTACAGACAGACTTCAATTTTATTTACATATATGACTCAATAGATTAACACACTCATATACAAACGTACAATATGACTGAGAATGCTCAGAAGAACCACGTTCTCACTGAACACTAGGTTTAAATAGAAACATAAAACTTTTCTGTGTTTCGTATGGTAAGTAATGAGAACCAGAAACCAGAAAAAACAAAAATTCAATTCAAATCAATAAAAAATCCAGGTGCCAACATGTAAAGGCGGCGTAATAGAAGCCACTCAAAAGAAAGAGAAAAGTAAGACAAACACTAGATGGATAGCAGTAGCAGGACAATTTTATAAGAACCTGCAATTGCCAAATATGGCAAATATGTCCAAAATTGGAATATTAATGGACTGTGATAAATTTATAAATGAAAAAAATTTGTTTAAGTGTCAATAGGCTAGAGCATCCACTTTCTAAAATGTTTAAGTACTTGTTCATATCTCATACTTATAAGAAACATTACAATACCTTAAATTAATGAACATATTATATTATAAATAAAAACAAGGAAATAAGATAATACAACGTCGGTATATTTATCTTGCCGCAGCTATCTTTGGATATCACGATGCGTATTATAATTTATAATTCACGAGAAGTAGGAATTTTCCATAGCTTCGGATTGTGGAAAGTAATGTCCTTCGGGATTGAGATTTAGTTCCGGTTGCTCATTTCTTATTCGGCTTTACTATTTTTATATACCTAAAATAATATTAACATTTACTTATTAAATTATAACATAAAAATATATAAAAAATTATATTGGTAAATCCAATTGTGAATGCCTTAAGCGTACTAAAAATATTACGTTTAACATGATTATACGTAATTTTTAAAGTAGCTTAATTACACACAAGTTTTCACAAAAAAAACCTTATAATTAGTACTAAACTTCAAATTTCCCGAAAATATTATGACAAATTTCAATGTAAAAAAAGCTTGGAAAATCCAAAAATGCACGACTTATGATCGTGAAAAAATTAAAAAAAATGTAAATTGTAGTTCTATTCGTCATAGAGTTCCAGTAGCAGTCACTGAAGTACACTTTCAAGTCACTCTAACAAGTTTGGAGGTAAGATCTCAGCATAACTAACAAAACGAGGCCAAACTCGGCACATCTAGTTCTCCTCGTCGAGGAGTTTCAGTAGCAGTCATCATAATACAATTTCAATAATGAAATAGACTGAATAAGACAAGGTAGACCTGAGTGTAAATTTACAAGTAAAAAGAAGCTTAAGAATTATTTTTTAGATAAAATAGAAGATACATGATAGCGTATGTATTGGACAATTTGTAAAATTGATATTTGTTTGTAATATTTGAAAAATATATATGGGTAATATTTAGAATCTCTATTTGGTTGCAACGTTACGTGGGTGGGATGTTATATTAAAATTATTAGAATATAGAAATAACAGTGTTTATATTTAGAATTTCTATATTTTTGCTATATTATATGGGTGGTGTTCTTATTTCATTATCTAATAGGATATAAGAGTGCATTTATTCGCCAACAAATTGTATTTACAGTTTGGAAAAGTTATAAAATTATGTAATAATTTTGTAAATATTAGTAAATAAATAAAAAAATTAAAAAAGTCACTGTATCAAGTCCGGAAATAAGATCTCATGGTAACTAACAAAAGTAGCCCTAACTCAGCACATCTAGTTCTCCTCGTCGAGGAGTTCCTGTAGCAGCTATCAAAGTACACTTTCAAGTCACTCTATCAAGTCCGGAGGTAAAGTCTCATCATAACTAACAAAACGCGCCCAAACTCGGCACATCTAGTTCTCCTCGTCGAGAAGTTCCTGTAGCAGACATCAAAGTACACTTTCAAGTCACTCTTTCAAGTCCAGAGGTAAAGGCTCATCATAACAATCAAAACGAGGTCAAACTCGGCACATCTAGTTCTCCTCGTCGAGGAGTTCCTGTAGCTGCTATCAAGGTACACTTTCAAGTCACTCTATCAAGTCCGGAGGTAAGGTCTCATCATAACTAACAAAACGCGCCCAAACTTGGCACATCTAGTTCTCCTCGTCGAGAAGTTCCTGTAGCAGACATCAAAGTACACTTTCAAGTCACTCTATCAAGTCCAGAGGTAAAGGCTCATCATAACAAACAAGACGAGGTCAAACTCGGCACATCTAGTAGATATTGAAATATTAACTTTAAAAAACACACGAAAATAGAACACTTGCGGAGATTCTTTCGCATTTTTTCTCCGGTTAAAATATCCTGATTTAAAAAGAATGACATTGGACAAACGAAACTTTATTTTATTTATATATTAAAAATAAAAATAGGTAAAAAAAACTTTTTAAGTTAAACGGTTTTATGTTAAACATACATTGCAATGTTTAAGATAAATGTACTAAAAACCAAAAAATAATAAAATAGATACAGTCGTGGGAATTATAAACATATGCATAGACTAAACTAAAATAAAACCGTGGGGCACGTCAATTGTCTCGCATTTATTTCTGTACAAATTCAATACAGCAGAGTTGTGGTCGTTAACTTGTTGATTTGTGGGGTATACCCTTAACGCTTTGTCTATTGCAAACTCATCACTCGTGTCTTGAAGAAGTCTTCCCATTAAAATACTAAAATGTTGGGTTGTTAGCTCACCGACTCTCAAAGCATTCAAAATATCAATAAAAGTCTGGTCACCTTGCTGACGCATATTTTCAGTTAATTCACACAGCGTGAATAAACGCCAGAGATGTGTAGCTGGTTGGAGATGTTCTGGCTGTTTGAAAACAGGTGATCCTGATCGTTTTATAGGAGGCAGTTGTAAAAGATCACCGAAAAGTAATACGTTTACTCCTCCAAAAAACTTATTTTCACAGTTCTTAATTCGCCTTAATCGAGCGTCCATCATGCATAACATTTGATAAGACACCATGGAAATCTCGTCGATAATCAAAAATTCTGTCTGATGCCATTGTTGCCTCATTATTCGCAAATAGTTTCCGGACAGTGGTGACATACCTGTTATGCGACCGTCTTTCTGTACAGGCAATTTTAAAGTACTGTGTATCGTAGCTCCATTTATTAATCTAGCTGCAACTCCTGTTAGTGAGCAGACTTTAACCGCATCCTTTGCGTAGCACCTATTAATTTGGTCTCGTAATAACTTTAATAGAAAAGTCTTGCCCACACCAGCTCCTCCTGTAAATAATATTTTTAAACGTTCTTCAGCACCTGACATTTGATTTTGTATGGACTGGGTAACTAATTGCACTAACTAACTGCAGTCCCTTCAGCGATGCCAAGTTGACTGTCGGTATATCGAAGTGTTGAAGTGCTTGTACAGTAGGGCTACGATGGCTATCCGAGTACAGAACCAGAGTACGAAACCTATCCAATTGCAGAGAGGTGTAAGACAGGGTGACGTCATATCCCCGAAACTCTTCACCGCTGCATTGGAAGACGTTTTCAAGCTTCTGGACTGGAAAGGATACGGTATCAACATCAATGGCGAGTACATCACTCACCTTCGATTTGCCGACGATATAGTCCTTATGGCAGAATCGCTGGAGGACCTAAGCACTATGCTCAATGACCTCAATAGTGTTTCCCAACGGATAGGTCTTAAGATGAACATGGACAAAACAAAGATCATGTTTAATTTCCATGTCACACCTATGCCGGTAGTTGTTGGGAACACTAAGCTCGAAGTTGTTGACGAGTATGTTTACCTGGGACAAATAGTCCGACTAGGTAAGTCCAACTTCGACCGAGAGGTCAATCGACGGATTCAACTCGGTTGGGCAGCGTTCGGGAAATTACGGCACATCTTCTCGTCAGGTATACCTCAAAACTTGAAAACGAGACTGTACACCCAGTGCGTGTTGCCAGTGATGACATACGGAACTGAGACGTGGTCCTTCACTGCTGGCCGGATGAGGAAGCTCAAGGTAGCTCAGCGAGCTATGGAGAGGGCTATGCTCGGAGTTTCTCTGCGTGATAAACTCAGAAATGAGGATATCCGCAGTAGAACTAGAGTGACCGACATAGCCCAACGTATTAGTAAGCTGAAGTGGCAATGGGCCGGCCATATAGCTCGAAGAACCGACAACCGATGGGGAAGAAAGGTTCTCGAGTGGCAGCCTCGTACCGGCAGGCGAAGTGTAGGGCGTCCCCCCACTAGATGGAGTGACGACCTGGTAAGATATGCAGGAAGTCGATGGATGCAGGTGGCTCAGGACCGTGCTTTGTGGCATTCTTTGGGGGAGGCCTATGTTCAGCAGTGGACTTGTGAAGGGCTGTAATGATGATGATGGGTAACTAATGTAAAAATTTCTTTTGTCCTGAATTCATAGACTGCTTAGCCTGTAAGAACTGGTCTTCATTCATTGGCAAATAAGGAACTTCTTCTTCATGTTCTAGTTCCATCGGCTCTGCATGTTCCAGTATCTGAAATGCGTGTACTTGCGCGAATGCATTTTCAAGCTGCCTGTCACGTTCACGATATATTTCCAAGTAGGCGTTTGTTTGTCTTAAACTTTCTTCGTTAGCGAGAAACGCATCTCTGGCACTATTAAATTCTCCTTAAAGTTCGGCCTCATTGCGATACGGCATATACTGGATTAGTAAACTGTAATAATATGACTCTGGATCAGAAGCTGCTACGAAGTTAGGTACCCGTACTACAGCTGGCGTGTTTCTAATAGTCATTTTGGTGTTGTCTGTTAAAGTTATAAGACGCCTTCTTGTTGTTTGCTCGTGCGGTGCATAAGCATCGGTATCGATGCTCTCTTCATTTATAACTGGCGGTTTTGTGTAGTGTGGCTCAAATAACATCGCAAATTCTATGAGACACATATTGTTAAAATCATAGTTGGGATGCTCTGCTGGTCGCTTTTCATATCGTTCGAAAATATTGGCACAATATCCTGCTGCTTGATCAGCTTCATTAAACTTCAACACTTTATACCTTTGTTCCGCTTTACGAGTATTGACAAAAATTGTTTTTCTCGAGCTGTCACGCATACTCAAATGGCATAGCCTAAATACGCATTCGCAGGCTGAAACTTGACGTTCTCTTAATATGCGCATGCATATTTTAAACAGCTTACGCGAGACGTCAGTTTCTTCTCTTCTAATTTGTTGAATAGCTCGAGATACTTCACCATCTAGGTTTGTAGGTTCTGATTTTGACACGTATTTAGCGATGTAATACGCAATCGACTGATTTGTACCACACGGTTGTATATCCATATTGGTTTTCCACATTTTTAGCAAGGCAGGACTGTAATTATTTACCCAACCATCTTCACTTTTTCTTTTCAGAACGCAAATGCGACCACCGTTGTAGATGAATTCGTTAGATGAAGGATCAATAACATGTGTCTCTAAGCATTCCGAGCGTGGAAAGTTGAAACGACAAACAGAATTATTTTTCGTGCAGGTACTAGTGTGTCGATGTATTTGACAATTTTTAACTTATTCATATAGTTCTGAAGTTTCTGGAGGAATGGCAGTACTACAGACTGAATCAATGCGAGCTATTCCTTCAGGTGTCGCAACAGACGGGTGATCTTCGATCCAAACAACCATATGCAAATGAGGACTTCCTCTGTTCTGAAACTCGATTCGCCACCAATGATCTTTAACTTTACCGCCAAATATTTCAGTATCAGTTTTAAGAAACTGCATTAGCGCACTAACACGTACCATAAAATGTCTACTCAAAACAACTGGATACATCTCGATGAGTCTCTGAGTTTCCTGAATATCTATGTCATCAATGTGCTGTTTACCATCACTAACAAGGAGACCTCTTTTCATATCCTTCCAGTGAAGATCATTGCAGCTCAATGTAACAAAATAAGTGGGAGGTCCTAAACATCTGATTTGTGCTATAAGATCACTAAGAGCACTACGCCAATAAGCAGATGAACCTCTTTGATTTTTTAACACGTTGAACGCCATAACGGACACCATGTGTCCGTCAGTACACTTTCTTCCGGGGCCGCACCATTAAATCACGAATCTTTCTAAAATTTTTGTGGTGTTTTTTTGCAAAAATTGTTAGGAAATAACTCAAAAATAATTGATGTTGTACAGAAACTGCGATATAAATATTATTTTCCGAGATGTCAAATGGCAGACACCAGTGTCCGTCGCGGCCTGCCAGAGCGTCCGACCGTCTTTTCGTGCGCGGACGCCGCGCGGGTCATACTGTCGGCTCCCCCCTCGCGCTACGTCACACTCGCTCGCCCCAGCGCAGCGTTACGCGTCACTCGTTCATTTGCCTTTGCGCTTGCCTAGGAGAATGTTGTGTTTCTTTTCGCAAAATTAGGGTTCCGTGATCGTAACAAGTATTCTATTTTTTCGTCATGGATGTATTTGAAAACTTTGAAGTTACCGAAGAAGATTTAGCACAAATAGAAAACATTGAAATAAACTTATTGAATTCAAGTTTTCACATATCTTCAGAAGATGAGAAAGAAAATATTTCAGCATTTCCGTCGAACAAACGTCGCCGCCGTATTATCCGCTCGGAAAGTGAGGACAGTGGATTAGAAAATACGACACCGGATTTGCCAGATCACACTCGAACTGATGGCGGTGGATGGGGACCGCCAGAAGGTAAACAACGTCGTTTGATTGCATTCACTGACATTTCGGGACCATCATACGCTGTTCGATCTACAATGGTAAATAAGTCTCCATCTGATTTCTATTCGCTTTTTGTCACTGACGATATGTTGCATTTTTTTGTTTCTGCAACTAACCAATACGCTATTGAGCAAATAACTATGAAACCTAACGCTTCTGCTGGTGCGCGCATCAAACAATGGGTTCCAACTAACTATACAGAGATGAAAAAATTCTTGGGCATGCTTCTCTTCATGGGTGTGGTCAAACTACCAAAATTATCGGATTATTGGTCGAAGGACGAAGTTATCGGTCATCCTTTTCCTAGAACTGCTATGTCACGTAACCGCTTCGAAATTCTGCTTCGCATGTTGCATTTTTCTGAAGATGACGAGAAAAACAAGGCCGATCGACTTCATCGTGTAAGGAAGCTAATGAACGATTTAAATGAGTGTTTTCGGCAACATTATACGGCAAATGAAGATATTTGTATCGATGAGAGCATGGTGCCATTTCGTGGAAGGATTTTATTTAGGCAGTATAATAAACAAAAGCGGCATAAGTATGGTGTTAAACTATTCAAGCTGTGCTCCATTCCTGGATATACACACAAAGTTAATATCTACGCTGGAAAAAACATGGACACTATAAACACAACACCCACAAATGTTGTGATGAATATGTGTGAAGGCTATTTTAACAGGGGGCATACTTTGCATACCGATAATTGGTATACCAGTATTGATTTGGCGCGAAGACTTTTGGGAGAAGCAAACTCATCTTGTCGGGACAGTCAAGAAAAATAGGAGGGGGCTTCCTAAAAAAGTAACCAACACGAAACTCAAGAAGGGCCATTACTGTGCGGAGGAGAGCCGAGATGGAATAACGGTGATGAAGTGGAAAGACAAGCGCGATGTTCTTGTTTTATCCACAAAGCACTCTGTGCGCTTCGTTGAGATCATAAAACGTGGACAGGTTGTGAAGAAGCCTCAAATCGTTTTGGAATACAATAAGGCCAAAGGAGGTGTGGATTTAGCAGACCAGATGGCTTCTTATTCAACTCCACTTCGCAAATCCATCCGATGGTACAAAAAAATTGCATTAGATATGCTTCTAAATATAGCTATGATCAATGCTCATGTTTTGTACCAGTCTGTAACCAAAACAAAAATAAAAGTAACAGATTTTAGAGTTGCAATTTTGAAATCATTCTGTGCTAAACAACAAGCAGATGAACCAGCCTTAACAAGACCGAAAAGACAGAAACATATTTTGGTGAAGTTAGACGGCCCATCAAGGATGACTAGACGAAATTGTGGGGAATGCTACAAAATGAATGTCAAAAACTTGGGTCGCTTACAAGCACGAAATAAGACGAAAAAAGTAAACACTTTTTGTAGCGTTTGTCCTGAAAAGCCAATTTTGTGCCATGACTGTTTCTTTAAACTGCATTTTTAGATTTTTGTTATATTTCTATATATCTTTGTATTTTTCTAAAGATAAGTTATGTTATTTCTAAGTATTTACATTTTCTAATTGAAGTGTTTTTTATCGAAGTCCATACATAGTGATTGTAGGTTGCTGATTTCAAGACTTTTATATATATTTTAAAGGTTTAACAATCGTTGTAATGCCACACATTTTGTAATATGTTTGTTGATCTCTTTAATTTTTTATTTTATCATCTTTTGTTACCAACAGGGTACCAATTAATCTACCTGTTCCGTTTTTAAAGTTAATTATTTTATTGTAATTATATAATTAGTTAATCTGATTAAACGATTGATCTCATTCTTTGCCATTAAACATTATATAAAAATATAATGACTTAGATTCATTTCAATTTTCAAATTATACATAATATATATATATGAATGTATATGTTCAAATAAAAAAAATCCATTCTTTATTCACCTATATTGGATAAGTAAGCTAAATGAAACACAAGGTAAACCTTAATATTTTTCGTCACATCGTGTGTATATTATTGCCTACTGAACCCATTCCTTATTTGATACGAACTTGACGGAAAACGATTATAATAGTAACGACTTTCTAGAGCTTTAAAAATATTAAAAATTTTCGCCTTTCTAAATATAACATAACTCAATTGAACTTTTCAAATACTTACTATAAGTACTTAAAACATTTTTGGGAACACCTTGTAGAAAAGTCCATAAATTAGAAATCCTTTCGATTTTTTTTGTGCCAAGCGGCTAAACTGTACTATAGGGCCGCGCGGATCACTTTCCTTAGTAAAAATAGTCGAAACAGTATCCGTCGGCCGTCTAGAAGCCTTTCTAGTGATCGAGACCATGCGGACACACGGTGTCCGCCACGGCCCCCTGGACCCGACATATTGGCGGTCACAAGGTGTCCGCCGCGGCTCCCTGGACTAAATATGGTTTTTAGTGTGGCGTTCAACGTGTTAAATATAAGTGCAGGTCTTCCACTCGATTGCCGTTTTCACCTTCAACTTTTCTAGCACAAGCTGCAATGGTTGATTTAACTCGATAGTACTCAAACATTGATAGAGCATAGAATAGGTAATCGTTGCACTGAAATCTAACATCAGCACCTAATAAACGAAATTGATAGTAATCCAAAGGACTTGTATTTATGGGCCGTTGTTCTTTCAAACCATTTTTACCATACGGGAAAAGCTGATACCATGCGAACTCTTCTGCTTTTAACTCATAAGCTTCATTCACAATATTATTATTCGTCTTTCTTCTGATTTTGTTTACATTTTCAGATACATCTAGCTCATCTTCAACATCAGGTTGTACGCTATCAATAGGCAACATTACAGATGTTTGTATAGGTATAGTTTCAGATCTCAGATTCGAAAGCGGTTGTTGTACTTGTACATCCTGATGAGTGATGGCATCTTCCTGTTGCTGTACTTGAACACCCTGACGAGTGATAATATTTTCCCTCAAATGTACGTCTACGCGTGTAAGGGTATACGCTATATTACGGGATCCGAGGCATCTTTTACAGATGCGGCACAGTTCTTGTAAGTTGTCGCATTCTATAACACAGGCTTTGCCATTTTCTGGTGTTGGTTTTCCTTTTGGGCCACAAGGATGGGAGTCAGCAAAATAGTATTTGTCTTCACCGCGAAATACGCTAACAGATTTATTTGACGCTGTCAATATTCCTGAAGAATGACTATCAAATAATCTATTTAAAGCTGTATGTAATGTAATGCCGATATTATTGGTATATACAGAATCATGGAGACTCCCGAATAAAAGAGTGTCTTCATCATATTCTATAGAAAATCGGCATTCATACATTTGTAATTTTTGCCTGACGATATGAAAGTTTCGTATCTCTAAATATCCTGTTTCATCCAGTTCAGTAAGATCAAGCTGGGTACGAGTCACCCGCTAACATATTAGCATTCAGAATATTGACGTCCCATTGATTAGGGCTTAGGATTGCAGCTCGGACAATGTTCGCCAACGACATAGCACTACATTGTACACCAGCATATCGCGAAGTAAAGACGTTGTAGTCACCTTGATGCCATGAAGCTCGAATAATTCTTGCAACATTATTAATTGGAATGAATGCATTTCGAATTTCATTTTCATTCCTTTCAGACGCTTCATCTTCAGACAATTCGGGCACACTAAGTCGTACTAACTCCTGGTCACTAATTTGGGCATTGTCGTCAATACGTACATCTTTGTTAAGCGGGTTATTTCTGATTAACCATCTTAAAGCACTATAGACTTTTTCGCGACATATTGTGAATTCCCTGGTGATGTTCAAATTTTCTAATCGTTCGGTTACTACAATAATGCCTACCTGGCTTGCAGATCTTGGTAGCATACTAGGCAGTCTTTCACTGACTTCAAAGATATCTTGGGCAAATAAAACTGCCTGTCCGCGAAAACCATACTGCCCATAGAGGCCACTAAATTTCACGATTTTAACAAACGGAATTATTCTGCACAGCAAACGTTGTTCCGCCTGTGTCAAAGTTTGAATAACGTCTGGTATAGAACCTGGATCCAGATTATTCCAGTAAGCTTTTGGTGGTGCTGTTGTTTTATTACTAGTAACATGTGTTTGACAGCGGAAACATAATAACAATGATATTTTCGAAGTTAACTCCACAGGTAAGTATGTTAATGCAGCAGCGTTGTACTGAACTGTACGAACTTGATTAGGATAACAACGTTTGGTACAAATATCACAAACATGTATACAAATTGTGTTAATAGCATTCTCAAATGCCTGCAGATTATTAGCTCTGCATTGCTGGGTACGCTCTCGTTGTTTATTTAACCTCGTATCGCGATGTTCATGCGTTTCTGAACCCAACTGCTGTCTTTGTATTTCACGGCTTTGTATTAATCTAACTTCATATTCTTCAGGCGTTTCTGACGCTACCATCTGTGTATATCGCTCCCGTTGTTTTGTTAACCTGGCTTCATATTCTTCAGGCGTTTCTGACGCTATCATCTGTGTGTATCGCTCACGTTGCTTTGTTAACCTGGCTTCATATTCTTCAGGCGTTTCTGACGCCGTCATTTGTGTATATCGCTGACGTTGCTTTTTTAACCTGGCCTCATATTGCTCAGGTGTTTTTGACGCTAATTGTTCCCGTCGTTTCTGTAATCGACTATTTCTATCACCTTCACTTTCTTTAGCTCGTTTTGCTTTATACTTTTCTTTCGCTTTTTGAAGCCTTCGTTTACGTTGTGTTGCAGTTTCTGTTTTATTTGTGTTTGTATTGTTTATTATTTTTTACCATTTTGTTCCCACTAGTAATGGACATTTAAACGGTCGACCCCCCCAGAGGTCTAATAAAGGGGCAAGGCTATGGACAACAAGATGCGCCTGAGTCTTGAGGGGAAAACGCTAACGACATATCATTTTTATCCACCCTAATGCCATACAGTTCTCGGCGCGTTTTAACCTTTCACCTTAACTTGGGTGGTGTACCGCTAACGACGTATCATTTTTAGCCACCCTAACGCCACACAGTCCTCAACACGATATTGACTTGGGTGGTGGATTCAGGCTGGATTAATCAGATACCTAAATTACAGATTCAATTTCTAAATTTAAATCTTATTATGGCCTGTTGGTCTAGTGGTTAGTGACCCTGACTGCTATGCCGGAGGTCGTGGGTTCGATTCCCACCCAGGACAAATGTTTGTGTGATGAGCACGATCATTTGTTCTGTGTCTGGGTGTAATTTATCTATAATATTTATGTATTTAGAAATATATAAGTATGTTTATTAGTTGTCTAGTACCCATAACACAAGCTCTGCTTAGCTTGGGACTAGATGGCGTTGTGTGATAGTTGTGGAATATTATTATTATTATTATTATTATTATTATTATTATTATTATTATTATTATTAGGCCGCCATCTTGGATTTTAATTTTATATAGTACATTGTATTATACTGGTTGAGCACTTTCATTTGATACCCATATTGATGGGATCGATAAAACCTACGTTATCCGCCATTTTGTAGCGGCCGCCATCTTGTATTTCAATTTTTTATAGTATATTGTATTCTGCTTGTTGAGCCCTTTCATTTGATACCCATATTGATGGGATTAATAAAACATAAATTATCCGCCATTTTATAGCGGCGGCCATCTTGAATTTATAATGATAATGAATAAACATAATTGTATTGTCACCAAAATCCAAAGTGTATACAAAATTTCAGATTAATCGGTTGACAGGAAGAGGGTGAAATTTGAATTACTAAATTTGACCCAAGAATAATAAATAAAACAAACGGGGTGAGCTAAATAAAACCGTTTAAAAATATTTCTCTTCACCTGAGCGAAATCATTTTATTCAGTTCATTCTGTATTCACTACATGAGTCGGAGCGTTCTCATAATAAAGCCTGACTACGGAACCAAGTTTGCTAAACTGGCTATAATATCATAGCATCAAAGTTATCAAGAAATATTTTTTTTATAGAAAAGGAGGCAAACGAGCATGCGTTTGCTTCCTTTTGCTCGTGTTCTTACTTTATTCATCTGACGGCAAATGTCGACCGCCACTCATGAACAACTGCAAGAGAATTGCAGGTGCGTTGCCGGCGATTTAAAAAGTGAAATTTAAAAAAATACCAGTTATTAAGATAATTAAGGTGTCAGGCGTTACTTTGCGGAAAGCCATTATATTAAAGTTGGTGAAAATTACCTTGCTTACATCCGCTCGATAAAATAAAATGATGTGTCTTGCCTAGTTTCTAGAGCACCTCCCGCCCTCTATCAAATGCGTGCACTATCCCCATCACCACTTATCCCAGCACCATTACTTCCAATACCACTACGCTAGGAAAAACACACTATCGAGGACAATACAACACGTGTTTCGCCTCTACACGAGGCATCTTTAGGTGATGTAGAATCTGCAGTGGCTGACCGCTAAGTGTGCGGCAAGCCAAAACAAGTGTTTTTTTTATAAATATGTATAAATAGATATGGCAGGGGGGTGGGAGGGGGTGCAATGTCCTTAGGCAAGTTGTACTGCTATAACAAATCCGGTTACCATCGGCAATAACATGATATGCCTAGGACACATCTGTTAGCGATTCCATGTTTACTATTGTCTCGGACGCTGTGAAGCAATCTACACTCCACTATAATAATCCTTCTCAAGTCCCATTTCTATTAATATAGACCTTCTTTATTAATTCTTTTTATCATAGACCTTACTATCATAACTCCCTAATATAGGACTATAAAAGCTTGGGTATGCGTCTCCAGCAACTCCCTAATATAATATAAGCAATAATTACACGTTCACCCTCTAGTAACACAAAAACAAGCTGCATCATCATTACAAGAACACTCTCATTAACTTGCCAAATATTATTTATCTTTATTATTGTAATACAATCGACTTGTATTTCTACTACATACTTTATAAATTATTTTATAAATTTTAAGGTTTTTAAAGACAACATTAATTACTATACTATAATACTTAATATTCAAAATGAATGTATTTGATCTTCATGCTTATTAATGCATTTAAATTTTTCAAAATATATATAAAAAGACACATTGAATAAAGCTACTTTTACGGATTTTATCGCATTTTAATTAACTTCTTTTCTTATTTTTATTAATTCCCGACGTTTCGGGTGCTTTACAGTACCCATGGTCAGGTGGGACTGAGGTGTTTGACGTCCCGATGTCAGAGTTAACCCGGAGTAGCTTCAGCTTTTTCAATTATTAATTTTGGTCCGATATACGCAGAATGAACTTACTATGTCTTGAAGTATTGCAGTGGTATGCTTGGGTTTAGTTTTAATTTTATGAATTATAGGACCCCAAGCAGTTGGTAGTACCCCGCCTCCCTCTTTATTGAAATTAGGATGTTTTTTTAACTTCAATAGCCTCACGTATCATCGTTGGCAGAAATCGATGTTCTTTCGCGAGTGTTGAGTTGATTTGAGTGTTGAGTTTGTGGTTTATCAAATCTAATGTAATGACGGGGGCCGTCTAGGATGTGATCACAAACTGCAGACTTCCCGGAACGTTGGTGCTTCACATCAGCTATGTGTTCTTTTACGCGGGTTTTTATTAATCGTTTTGTTTGCCCTATATATGAGAGACCAAACTCAAAATGAAGCTTGTACACTCCTGCATCTTGTAGAGGAATATTGCACTTGACGGGTGGTAAGAACTGACTAATCTTCTTCGGCAGCTTAAAGAATGTTTTAATAGAAGTTCACTTCAAGATGTAGCCAATCTTGTCTGTGACACCTCTGACATATGGTAGTACAGCAGGCACACGCTCGACTGTGGCCGGCTTCACTAGGTCATGACAACAAGCTTCAGGTCCCGCTCCTACGTCACAGTGACCGAATGAAGCCGGCCACAGTCGAGCGTGTGCCTGCTTTACTACGTAGGAGCGGGACCTGAAGCTTGTTGTCATGCAGAACCTGCTTGACGTGCTGAAGCTCGGCGGTCAGGTGTTTGCTGTCACAGATCCCTCGTGCTCTCTGTAAAAAAGATTGGCCCACGGTAGCTAACTGTGAAGAATGATGGTGGGATTCACCGTTCAATGATCACGCGGATGCAACTGCTCTCCACTTAAGTAGTGAGCAACTGCGGCGTGTAATGAAACATGCAAACAATCACACCTAACGTACACAGCCGCTTGCTATTAAATTAATGACAAACCGCCGCAATACGCCCGCCTACCTTCCAACCAAGCAACTAATTGCTGATCACTGTGACGACCATATTCCGAGGATGTTTGTTATAAAAGAGCAGGCTTAAAGATGTATAAGAGAGGTGAGTTAAAAAGATTTGATTTTTCATTCAGCAGTGCTATACGTTACTATTTTTTTTAATATCTCTAACTGTTTCAGCACATACAGTCGCAACGTTTTATTACAAGTATGTAAGATTTCTTACATCTACGCAAACACTACACATTAAATAAAACTACTTTTACGGATTTTATCGCGTTTAATTAAGTTATTTTATATTCCCGACGTTTCGGTTGCTTTTGACTTTAAAGGAGTGGTCATTAGCTAGGCAGTCTCCAGCATCTCAGAAATATTTAGCAAAATTGGATTTATTGGGATTACAATTCCTGCACACGGCTAAATGCTCTTTATAACGTGTCTCGAAGTTGCGACCAGTCTGACCCACGTAAACCGCGTGGCATTCGTCACAAACAAGTTTGTAAACACCCTAAATTTGACGAGTAGCCAACTTATCTTAATAATACAGATATTCCTCAGAGAATAGTTTATTTTTAACGCCATGTAAACGCCGCTCTGTAAAAGAGTACTAGTTTGATACTCCCGCCACCCGCACAATGGGTCGCTTTCTGACTAGGCCCGTAGTGGGGCCATTACGCGCGGATCTACCGGCACTATCTCGCTCATGCCCGTTGCGCTAGGCGCCCGTCTTAGTCACTAAACTATTGACGTAAGCGGCGGTTACATATGTTTGATACTTTGCGCCCGTGGTCGTAGACGCGCTAGACTCGCACTGAAGACTAGGGCTTAGAGACAGCAATTTGATAAATTACATTAAGCTCTTTTAAATAATTTTCTTTACTTAATGGGACAGTAAATAAACGATTAATATAACAATAAAAAGCGGCTTATATATGTTGCAAAGGATGACACGATGACGCGGGGATGACCGTGTCGGTCATACGTGGTCATATTTTTATACGTGGTAGAGCCATGCTGCAGTTATATTAGTAGTTTAGTTGGAGCACGAATTGATCGGCTCGACTGGGGAAGGACAACGCTCTCATAGAATACCTTAATTATTTAAATAATATAGACTACGTGTGCCAGTCCAACAAATAAATATTTCGTCTATAAATCTATAATAATATAAAATATTTTTATTGACGACTATATGTTGTTTCTAAAATTATCCATGAAAACGTCCGCCACAAGAGAACTTAGAGGGGACCCCATAGCTAACCCTTCTTTTTGTAGACGGAAACGGCTAAGTTAAGAAGATCATTTTTGTTACCCCGGGATGTAGACGACGCTTATTAAAGAAATCTGCG